TGCCTGGGGCACCCCAGGGAGTGCAGCAGGCAGGAGGGGAGCTGAGGGTATCCGGGGCACCCCAGGGAGTGCAGCAGGCAGGAGGGGAGCCGAGGGTGCCCGGGGCACCCCAGGGAGTGCAGCAGGCAGGAGGGGAGCCGAGGGTGCCCGGGGCACCCCAGGGAGCGCAGCAGGCAGGAGGGGAGCCGAGGGTGCCCGGGGCACCCCAGGGAGTGCAGCAGGCAGGAGGGGAGCTGAGGGTGCCTGGGGCACCCCAGGGAGTGCAGCAGGTAGGAGGGGAGCTGAGGGTGTCCGGGGCACCCCAGGGAGTGCAGCAGGCAGGAGGGGAGTTGAGGGTGCCCGGGGCACCCCAGGGAGTGCAGCAGGCAGGAGGGGAGCCGAGGGTGCCCGGGGCACCCCAGGGAGCGCAGCAGGCAGGAGGGGAGCCGAGGGTGCCCGGGGCACCCCAGGGAGTGCAGCAGGCAGGAGGGGAGCCGAGGGTGCCCGGGGCACCCCAGGGAGTGCAGCAGGCAGGAGGGGAGCCGAGGGTGCCCGGGGCACCCCAGGGAGTGCAGCAGGCAGGAGGGGAGCCGAGGGTGCCCAGGGCACCCCAGGGAGTGCAGCAGGCAGGAGGGGAGCCGAGGGTGCCCGGGGCACCCCAGGGAGTGCAGCAGGCAGGAGGGGAGCCGAGGGTGCCTGGGGCACCCCAGGGAGTGCAGCAGGCAGGAGGGGAGCCGAGGGTGTCCGGGGCACCCCAGGGAGTGCAGCAGGCAGGAGGGGAGCTGAGGGTGTCCGGGGCACCCCAGGGAGTGCAGCAGGCAGGAGGGGAGTTGAGGGTGCCCGGGGCACCCCAGGGAGTGCAGCAGGCAGGAGGGGAGCCGAGGGTGCCCGGGGCACCCCAGGGAGTGCAGCAGGCAGGAGGGGAGCCGAGGGTGCCCGGGGCACCCCAGGGAGTGCAGCAGGCAGGAGGGGAGCCGAGGGTGCCCGGGGCACCCCAGGGAGTGCAGCAGGCAGGAGGGGAGCCGAGGGTGCCCGGGGCACCCCAGGAAGTGCAGCAGGCAGGAGGGGAGCCGAGGGTGCCCGGGGCACCCCAGGGAGTGCAGCAGGCAGGAGGGGAGCCGAGGGTGCCCGGGGCACCCCAGGGAGTGCAGCAGGCAGGAGGGGAGCCGAGGGTGCCCAGGGCACCCCAGGGAGTGCAGCAGACAGGAGGGGAGCCGAGGGTGCCCGGGGCACCCCAGGGAGTGCAGCAGGCAGGAGGGGAGCCGAGGGTGCCCGGGGCACCCCAGGGAGTGCAGCAGGCAGGAGGGGAGCCGAGGGTGCCCGGGGCACCCCAGGGAGTGCAGCAGGCAGGAGGGGAGCTGAGGGTGCCCTGGGCACCCCAGGGAGTGCAGCAGGCAGGAGGGGAGCCGAGGGCGCCCGGGGCACCCCAGGGAGTGCAGCAGGCAGGAGGGGAGCCGAGGGCGCCCGGGGCACCCCAGGGAGAGCAGCAGGCAGGGGGGCAGCCGGGGGTGCCCGGGGCACCCCAGGGTACGCAGCAGGCAGGGGGGGGATCGATGGACGACCGGGAACAGCAGTTGGAGGAGTGGTGCCGACTTTTGGAGTTTGATACCCCCATGGCGACTGCGGAGGAGTCAGAGGCGGACGGAGAACCACCCAGTCCGCCTTCCCCATGCCTCTGCGCACCACATGAGGGTATGCCGGGCGGCTTAGGCGGAGAGACGCGCGCAGGCACTTGGCTCGATCCCGTCTCTGGTGGAGACCGACACACAGGAGCGACCGACGCCGCGGGAATTTGGGGACGAGGCGTGGGCAGGGGTTAAGTCATGGGAGTGGGAGGCATTTTTCTGTGTGGAGGCGGTTGGAGGGAGGACAGTGCGCCGGATCCCGCAGCGGGCCCGATCCGGGGTCTTAGACGCACTCTGTTGCATCTTGAAGCGGCTGAAGAGCCGACCGGGAGATGAAGCTGCTACCCTCCTACTCCTGGCGTTTCCGCGCCTCATCCTAGCCGTGCCTCCCAAGCCAGGCATAGGTCAGAAGGCGCTGATCATAGAGCGGCTGGGGGCCTTCTGGGAGGGGAGGTGGCGGGAGTTGTTCGACGCTGCCATGGCGGCGGCACGGCCAGCAGTTCGCCCACTTGCCTACACGTGCTCTGACCAGGACCCGGAGGCCATCCGCCTGTCACGGTGCCGATCTCGGTGTAAAGTGGGAGAGTGGAGCCGTGGTTTGTCTTGCCTCACAGCAGGAGAGTTGGCTCGACCGTCTGAGGCTATGGTGCAGTCGCTGCGAGGGAAGCACCCAGCTAGCAGTGGCGAGGTACCACCGTGGGTTCGTGAGTTTACTGTCGACGCTCCTCAGCGGCCTCCACTCACGACCGACATTCTGGCTAGAGCTATCCACACAGCTGCTCGCGCCTCAGCTGCAGGGCCATCGGGATGGGTCACAGAGCATCTGCGCGACACTTTCCTCACGGAACCTTCCTGCCTCTCCCACCTGGTGGAAGTGTTCAACCAATGGGTGGCGGGACAGGTCCCCGAGCGAGCTCGGCCCTGGCTCGCCGCATCCAACCTAGTCGGGCTTTCCAAACCCAACGGTGACGTCCGGCCGGTGGCGATCGGGGAGGTGCTTCCGCGTATCCTCGCTCGAGCTCTCTGCATCTCGCTTCGCCCTGTGATGGCTTCTTATTTTCTGCCGTGTAACCAGCTGGGAGTGGGCACCAGGGCCGGGGTGGAGATTCTTACTCATTCTTTCCGGTCAGCGCTGGCCACTCACCCCGACTGGTGTGCGCTGCAGATAGATGTCGCGAACGCCTTCAATTCGTTTCATCGCCACGCGATGTTCGAGGGGCTGAAGGAGTCGCCTTTCTCAGGAATGATCCCATTCTTGCGTGTCTTCTATGGGACACCTAGCGACCTGTACCTCCGACCGGGCCCTTTCGTACAGAGTCTTGAGTCGGCACGAGGATCGCGACAGGGGGACCCGCTCGGCCCTTTTCTTTTCGCTTTCACGCAGCAGCAGGTGCTGGGGACGGTGACTAGAGAGTTCAGGGACCTACTTTTCTTGAGCTATGCAGACGATACCTACATCCTGGGACCAGCGGCTAGGATTCTGGAGGCTTTTGGGGTGCTGCGAGAGAGGTTGGAGTGGGTGGGGCTGGAAGTGCAGGCGCACAAGTGCAGGTTTTGGGAGCGTGGAGGTGGGGATATGGAGCGGGCATTGACTTTGGGGATGCAGCGGGAGGAGGAGGGTCTTATTGTGGTGGGCGTGCCTATTGGGGAGGAGGATTGGGAGGGGGCCCGATTACGGAAGCGGCTTCGCGAGTTGCAGGCGCCATTGCCGTGGCTCCCCCTGCTCGACCACCCCCAGATGGCCTCGCATCTCCTCGCTATTGCAGTTTCAGCACGGCCGATGTACCTGGCCCGGACTATGCCGCCGCGGCCGGAGGTGGTGGAGGCCTTTAGAGAGTGGGACAGCTGTCTGGAGGATTGCTTTGAGCAGCTTTTCCCCCCTGGCACTTGGGAGCAGGATCCCGGCAGGTCTAGGCGCGCACGCATGCAGCTGCATCTCCCTGTGCGCCTCGGAGGGTTTGGGATCCGGGCGGCGGCCTCTTTGAGTCCGCTCTCCTATGTTTGTGGGTGGGCGCAGGCCGCACGGGATATTGCACATTTGGGGGTGGCGGGCGAGGAGGCGATGTTCGCAGAGTACCTCACCACTTCGGCGGGGGCGGAGCTTCTTGACCCGTGGTTTGCCAAGGCCATTGAGCAGTTGCCCGCGACTATACGCCAGGAGCTGCCGGACTTACCCCTGTGTGTGGCGGCCCCTCCTCTTCGGCTTTTCCAGGCGCGGCAGCGGCAGTTGGCTGTTGAGGAGCTCCAGGCACTCCGCCGCTTGGCTCGTGACGATGCCACCCTAGCCCGTTTCACATCCCTTCAGGGCCCGGGGGCTGGTGCATGGGTTTCGGCAGTTCCGGCTCATTCAGATCTCACATTCACTGCAGCGGAGTGGGGCATTGCTGCTGCTATACGGCTTGGTCTCCCAATCCAGCAGCTGCAAGTGGCGGGGAAGTGTGTTTGTGGCGCAGCGTATGATGACCCAGCAGACCCGCATCATGCGCTGAGATGCAAGCACCAACACGGTCCATCTCGGGTGCATGATGAGGTGAAGTTTGCGGTGGCAAAGATCGCTAAGGCGTCAGGGGGGGTGGTGACGATGGAGGATAGTGCGGTGCTGCCGGGGAAGCGGGTTGACGTAGCGGTGCGACGACCAATGGCTGGGGAGGCTCATGCTTTAGAGATTAGTGTCGCGGACCCGCTATCACTGTCTCCATCTCTGCTAGGGCAGTGCGGGCGGTCTATAGGCGTGGCGGCAAAGGAGTGGGAGCGTCGCAAAACGGGGGATTACGCGCCTCTTCTTGCACGGAACCGAGGCGTGCAGTTCACCCCTTTGATAGTGGAGACGTGGGGGTGTCTCGGCGGTCGCTTCCGGCGGTGGCTTCGACAGCAGGGGGACGCGCACGTGGGGCTAGCTGTGTCACGGGGGGCTTGTCGGGAGGATGACACTTCGTTCTCGGCTTACCTTTTGGGGTCTCTGAAGGCGCTCATTGGAGTGGCGTTACAACGGGCGCAAGCTCGTGTCATCCTGCTTCGGGCGGCGTCTTCCATGGGGGGGTTGAATGTGGACTTGGTGGATCGGGAGAGGGACGATGTCGAGGTGGAGGGCGGGCCTCTTTGGGTGGAGGCCCCCTACATGGTGGATGTGCAGATGTGACTTGGGGGGGAGGGGGGGGGGGCGAGGGGGAATGGGGTGCGAGATGGGACGTCTGGTAGGGGATCCTGGTTGGGTTTTTTCTTTATAGAGTATTTTTATGGGGCTTTTTATGGGTGTTGCGTTTGAGTTGTTTCTGGTGTCTTTCTTTCCCGTTCCTCTCCTCTTGTGCGATGCTTTTCTTTGTAAAGATTATGTGTCAGATGATTAGTTAAGCTTACGATGCCATGAAAAAAAAAAAAAAAAAAAAAAAAAGTGCTCTACTCTTTAGTGAGCACCTCGGTATAGCCTACAATTAACAAATACATGCTGTTGACACGAGCCTGGTGTTTCAAAAAGTTGGAGTCGTACGCGTAGTTGGTTAGTGGACTGAACTCTTATTATGACTTGTGTGAGGGAGTGGCAGAACCAACAGCAGAATCGGTTGTTGGAGCAGCCAGACTAGCAGAATCGGTTGTTGGAGCAGCCAGACTAGCAGAATCGGTTGTTGGAGCAGCCACACTAGCAGGAAGCACAGTGGCCACAGCAGCAGGTGCAATGGCAGTAGGCGCAGGTGCAGCTGAAAGTGGTGATCTATGGTTGCCTGTAGCAGCATCAGATACAGTGAGAGGGGCAGAGGCAGGTTGAGGTGAAAGAGCTGGTGTAGGACCAGCCTCTGGGGCATCGGTTGCGGTTGCCGCTGCGGCAGCAGCAGGAGATGCGTCGGCAGCAGCAGGGACAGAACCACTGGCAGCAGGTGCAGTGGCAGTAGCAGCAGGTGCAGTGGCAGTAGCAGCTTTGGCTAGTGGAACCACAGGAGTAGCAGCATCAGTTGCAGCAACAGCACACTCAGGAGTGGCAACAACTGGATGAGAGGCACCCTTATTTGCAGCACTGCTGGTAGCAATGGTGGCCGAAGCGGGTGCAGGAACAGGAGCAGGAGCAGAAGAATTCGCAGAAAGAATAGGGGGAGCGGACGCAGGAACAGAAACGGGAGTGGACACGTTGGGAGCAGGAACAGCAGAAGAAGAAGCAACAGGAGCAGCAGGCATTGTGGTGGCAGCAGCAAGTGGCACAGATTCAATAGCAGCTGCTCTTGCTACCATAGAGGCATTGGCAGGCGCAGCAGCAGTGGGAGCAGCCACAGCTGTGGTGGAGGGAGGCGGTTGGTTGGAGGGAGGCAGTGGGGTGGATGTGAGTGACGCGAGGAGGGCAGTGAGAGACCGAGGGGGAGGCGGCGCTGCCAGAGAGGGAGCAAGGTGGGAGGATGGGGGCGGGGCAGTGAGTAGTGGCTGTCCCCAGCCAAGGCCATGCGGCCTGGCGACAGGGAGAAGCGTGGACGGCAGGCCAGCAGATGCAAGCAGCTGCGCGAGGGAGTGGAGTGCGGTGGTGGTGGGTGGTGCAGTGTGGGGGAAGGGGAAGCGCGGAAAGTGAGCAGCAGGCGGGGCGGGCATGGGGTGGGGAGCAAGAGCAGCTCGTAGGGCCGCCGCCACTAAGAGCTCCGGGGACAGCACAGGGGCTGCCATGCCCGCTGATACCTGCTGCTGCCCCGCCCCTGCTGCTCCCCTGCCTGCCATGCCTGCCCCACTCCCCGCTGCTGCCCCGCCCCGTGCTGTCACCACACCGTCCTGCGCATCGCCGCTCCTCCTCCTCTTCCTCCCTCGCCCTCCAGCCTTGCCCCCTCCTGCGCTCCTCCCTGCCACAGCGCCAGCTATCGCCTCCTTCGACTGCCACTCCTCCATGCTGCTGCCCAGCCCTCCAATCTCCTCTACGCTCATGCTCTCACTGCTCTCACTACCCTCGCTCCCCGCACCCCCCTCCCACACCACCACGCGAGCCCTCTCAAGCCGCTGCCATGCGCGCGCCACCTCTGCCGCGCGGTGGGCCGTGAGGCGCCTGGGGAAGGGGGTGGCTGCGGCAAGGGCGGCCCACGCAGCGTGCAGGTGGGGGGCGGCGTGGGCGGCAGATGCCACCCGCACGCCCGCCAGTGACGCCAGCAGCGTGCTCACCTGAGGTGGCGGGGTGACTGGGGCACGTGCAGGCGCAGCATGCTGAGGTGCAGCATCAGCGGCGGCAATGGCAGCACCAGGTGCAGAACTTGGTGCATTGATGGCAGGAGGGGCGGAACGAGTGAAGGCGTGAGCAGTGGCAGCAGCATGCGTGCTGGTGTTGGCATGGAAGGCGGGCAGGTCAAGGTCCGTGTCTGTGTCAAAGGCACCACCGCCATCAGTATCCGTGCCGTCAAACCCACCATCACTGTCACCAGTCACGCCCCCATCCCCATCCCCACCGTCACTCTCCATCGCATCCCCTGCCGCCCTGCGCTGCCCACCACCACCATCCCGCCGCCCCGCTTCGACCCACTCCTCCTCGCGCACGTCGGTCAGCCGGCGTCCACTCGCCTTGATCTGAGCGCGCCTCTCCCGCTGCGCCTTTGCCAGCGCCACCAGCGCTGCCACCTCCTCCTGCCGCACCTCACACCGCTCGTCCAGTATCCCCCTTATCCTCGCGCTCACTCCTCCCTGCCCCTCGCTCTCCTCCCCATCCTCCCGGCCCCCCTCCCCATCCTCGCGCTCTGCCTCACCATCCTCCCCATTCACCTCCCCCCTCCTCCCTCCCAGCCCGTCCCCCCCTCGCTCCCTCGCCGTGCTACCTCTTCCTCCTGTGCCCCCAGGGGGGCGGAACCCCCAGCGCTGCAGGAACTGTTGCACCCATGCCGCGCTACATGTGAACCCCCCACCCACCCCCACCAGCGGGGCCAGCCGCTTTGCATACTCCTGCACCGCCCGCACTGACACCTGCTGCTGCCCCGCCCCCACCCCCCCTCTGCCCCCTCCCTCATCGCCCCTAAACCCCCCCTCAGCTTGCCTGTCCTGCTCCATCCTCGCTATAGCCCTCCTCACTGCGAGCGCAAGAGCCTCCTCGAGGCGGGCCTCAGCGCCGCGCAGTCGGACGGCGCCCGGCCTGCCAGGGGGGGAGAGCTTCACCAGCTGCCTCCACTCGTCCTCCCTCAGCAGCACCGCTGGCAGCGACACACTTGTTAGCCTCATGCCGTACCTGATGCCATGCCATGCCATGCCATGCCATGCCATGCCATGCCATGCCATGCCATTCCATGTCATTCCATGCCATTCCATGCCATGCCATGCCATGCAATGACACACCATGCCATGCCACACCATGCCACACCATGCCACACCATGCCATGCCATGCCAAGAGGGAGGGACCCACGGGGAGGGGAGGTGTGAGGGAAGAAGGGAAAAAGAGAAAAGGGGTGAAGAGAGGAAGACAAGTAAATGTGGAAGACAGCACACGCATAGATAACAGCAAGAGAGGGTTGGGTTGACCCTTACAAGGGGGAGCCATGAAGCAGGGAGGAAGGGAGGAGGAGCAGGCGAAGGTGAAAGAGATTGAAGTTGGCCAGTGAGGAGGACAACGCACCTGGCGCCAACAGCGCGGGCGATGGCGCGGGAGGGGAGGGAGGGGAGGGCGCGGGCGAGGGCGCACATGGCGAGCTTCACAGCGGGCGGCACCACCGTGTGGCGCCACCGCCGCTGCCCGCCGCCCGCCCCCTCCCCTGTGCGCCCCTGCGCCTGCCCCTGCGTGCGTGCCTCTGCGGCCCACTTCTCCGCCAGGCGCTCCAGTCGGTCCAGCGGCCCCTCCTGCTGCTCCTCTGCCCCCCCTGCCCGCCCAGCATGCCCGGCACCAGCAGCAGCGGCAGGAGTAGCGGAAGCAGGAGTAGTGGCAGCAGAGCGGTGAGAGTGCAGTGAGTGGCGCCCCTCCTCCCTCTCCTCATCCGTCCCTCCATCGTCACTGCTTTGCACTTCCGTGGTGTTTCCATCGGTAGTGTTACCATCAAACGACAACTCCCCTCCATCCCCCCCTACCTCACCCCTCCCTGTACCTGTCTTCTTGCCACCCCCACCCCCTCCCTGCTTGCCCCAGTCGCTGCCCAGCCCATGTCGCAGCAGGGCCTTGCGGGCCCAGTGGTAGCTGTACCGGAAGCCCTCCTCCACGCCCATCTGCCGCCCCACCTCTCGCGCATAATCTAAAATGTCATCCCACCGCACCGCCTCTCGCCCGTACCGTGCCTCCATCGCCCTCACCCACGCTGCCACGGCGGCCTGCACGTGGGGGTGGGCGCCGCTGCTGTGGCGGATGCGGGTGGCGCAGTGGGCGGGCAGGGCGAGGTACACGGCGCTCTTCCTCAGGATGCGCCGCACCGCCGCCACGTCCAGCGCCGCCATGCCCGCCGCCTCCACGGCGGCCGCCGCCACTCCCCCTGCGGCCAAGCTCGCTGCGCTGCCAGCAGCAGCGGCCGTGGCACCGGTGGTGGAGGAGGAGGGTGGGTGGGCGTGGCGGGCGGCGGCGTAGAAGGCGCGGTGCACGAGGCGGTGGATGTCTTTGGGCGCCATGTGGGGCCGGGCGGCCCTCAGCATGCAGATCACTCGCTTCACCCGCAGACTGATGGCCGCGCGGTGCTTGCCCTTCTTGCCCGCCGCGCGCTTCTCCCTGTCTGCAGCACTCTGCCTCTCCGCATGGCCGTGGCCACCACGGGAGTCATCGCTGGGGGGGTCCAGGCGGAGGTCTCCTGCTGCTGCCACTGCCGCCTCCACATCCACCACCCTTGCTGCTGTTGCTGCTGCTGCTGCTGCTGCTGCTGCGGCTGCACCGCTCACCGCTGCCCCTGCTGGAGGCGCTGCCCGTCTGACTCCCTCGTCTGCCTCTGTGCCTGCTGCAGTGTCGGAGTCAGACCCACGTGCTGCCTGCACGCCTGCACCCGCCTGCTCCCCGTCCACCCCGGCCTCTGCCAGCGCCAGCGCCAGCAGCTCTCGGCTCGGCTGCACTGGCCGTGCCGCCCTGCCTGCTGCCTTCTTCCTCGCCCTCTCTCTCGCTGCACCTCTTGCCGTGCCGGCCAGCAAGTCTACTTCTCCCTGCCATCCACCCGCCTCTGCTGCCTCCGCCCCTGACGTCCCTCCCCCCTCGCCCTCCTCGCCCTGCCCCCTCCGCCGCCCCTGCCTCTCGCCCCCCATGCCCTCCTCCCCACTCTCGCCCCCCTCACCCCCTTCGCCCCTCTGCCTGCCCTCACCCCCCTCGCCGCCCTCCAGGTCGATCACCTCCATGCCCGCAGTCAGGGACGTCGCCCGCCCCACCACCCGCATCCCTCCCCTCCCTCCCTCCCTCCCACCCGCCCTTCCCACCACTCCCCTACCTCTCCTCCCTCCCCTCCCTCCCCTTCCTCTCCTCCCACCCTCACCCCCTTCATCACCCTCCTCACTCCCCTCCTCATCCCCCTCATCACCCTCGTCCCCCTGCTCCCCCGCCGCCCCATCACCATGCGTGCGTGCCACCAGGATCTGCGTGCCGAAGATCTCATCAGCCAGGGCCAGCAGCGACGGCTCCGCACTGCCGGCAGCAGCAGTGGCGGCGGCGGGGTCGTCAACCTCATTGAAGTACGCCTCCCTCTCCTCCTCCAGGTGCCGCTTTGAGAACCCCCACCGCTCCTGGAACCGACACGCCCACCCGATGCTGTACCTGCGGGCGGGGGGAACGGGGGAATAGGTTCACAGAAAGTGTTGAGATGGCATGGGAGAGGAGGCAGGAAGGGGAGAGGCGAGCGGTACAAGGAGCAGCGGAAGCAGCCAGCAAACTACGCATTGCACAGTAACCCGCGTGCTAGAATATCACTCCTCTTGTAACCTGCATATATGCTATAGGATAGACTAGAGTTAAGCACCCAAACTTAGTTTGGGGGTACAAGCAGGGATAACCCAGTTTGTAGGTTGGAACCCAACCTTGGTCCAATTATTGGACCCCAAAGGTTGGGTTGGGTAAAATTATTGGTCCCCTCCAATAATGTTGGCCCAAACCCAACTTGGCCAACATTATTGGACCCCACCAATAATCTCCCAACCTAAATTCTTGGTTGCGGTCCAATAATGTCAACCTAGGCTAGTATCCAACCCACCTCCTATGTATATCCCCATCATTCTCAATCAAACCATCCTGTTCATTCCTAAATCCTTTTTCAACACACCGCGTGCCTCCCATGGACCCTGGCAGCACCTGAAGGAGGGCGAGACCCCGTAGGAGGGTCCGAGCTCGCGGCCCTTGGCGCAGATCTCCTGCAGCTGCACCTTGGTGGCGCCGGGCCCGCCCTTCTTCTCCCGCAGCCACGCCACGAGCGCCTCCTCCAGCGCCATGCTCTCGGGCGCGCGCACGCGCTTGCTGCTGCGCTGCGCCAGCGTGGAGCTCCAGTGGTCCGCCTTGTCGAGGATGCGGCGCACGTGCGAGGGGATGAAGCGCATGTGCGGGTACTTGGCGCGGCACACGCGCATGATGCCGCCCACCGTGATGCCCGGCCGCACCCGCTTCAGCTCACAGATGTCGCGCTTCACACTCACGTCCACGTGCTTGCGCCGGCCCCCCCTGCTCCCTCCCCCAGCCCCCCCACCTCCCCCACCGCGGCGCCGGTTGCTGTCGCCGCCGCCTGCCCCTTCCTGCTCACCTGCGCCTTGGCCTGCTTCTGCTTCTGCTGCTGGTGCAGCTGGTGCTGATGTTGCCGCGGCCCCTGCTGCAGCAGGCGGGTGGTGAGGCAGCATGAGGTCCATGCCGCCTGCAGCACCGCCTGGTGCCCCCTCGTCAACCCCTCCCGTTGAAGCGGGGCCAACACCTGCACCTGCAGCAACGGCGGTGGTGGCAGAGGCTTGTCTGAGAGCCTCACGAGCAGCAGCGAGGCCAGCAGCGTACCCCAGCTCAAAGTCCTCCTCGCCCTCCCCCTCCCCTGCCTCTCCTCCCCACTCCTCCCATCCCACTCCCCCCCACTCCTCCCCTCCCTCTCCCCCCCACTCCTCCCCTCCCTCTCCTTCCCATTCTTCCTCTGTCGCTCCACCACCCTCCCCCTCGTACCACTCCCCCCAAGCCCCATCCTCGCCCCCTTCCCCACGCACAACCACATGGTTGCGCCCAAGCTCCTCCCCACCGCCGCCCACTCCAGCGCCAGGCTGCCACTCGTCTTGCCCACCCTCCACCCACCCGCCTGCCGCACCACGAAACTGCTCCTCGCCGCCCCTTCCCTCCTGCTGCTCTTGCTGCTCATACTGCTGCTGCTGCCATTGCTCCTCCTCCAGCCGCCGCTGCTGCTGCTGCTGCTGCGGCAGGCGGTGCAATCTCCCTGCACCCACCATGTGCTGCCTTGCGTGTGCCTCCTCGCCCCCCACATCCCACCGCTCCCCTTCCTCCTCGCCATCACCCTCCCACGCCATCTCCACTCTCCTCCCCCTCCATGCACCCTCCACACGCCCCTGCTGCCCTCGTACCGCTCCTAATGCCTCTCCACCACTCACCCGCCCATCCAGGTAGCCCATGCCCCCGCCCGCGTCCCACCCCCTGCCAGCGGTGCCACCTCTCATCCGCGCATCCCCGCGCGCATGCGCGCCCGCCCCCATCCATCCCTGCCCGCGCGCCACACCTGCGCCCCTCCCTCCGTGCGCCTCCACCCCCCGCCCGCGACTGCCGTCCGTTTGTCCCGTTCCACCCGCCATCCTCCCCCGCCCCGCGCCCTCGCGTGCGCGCACGCTCCTCCCGCCTGCTCCGCCATCCGCGCCCCTCCCCCTGCCTCCCCTGCGGCGGGATACACGCCCCTCCGCGCCTCTCCCTGTCCATCCCTCCGCGCCTCCCCCTGTCCATCCCTCCGCGCCTCCCCCTGTTGTCCATCCCTCCGCTGCATTCGCTGCTTCCCCTCCTCCGCCCACCGCTCCCACTCCTCCGCCCGTCCCTCCGCCCTCCCACGCTGTCACTGCCCCTCCGCGCGCGCTTGAACCAACCCCCACGCCCTCCCCCACGCCCCATCCCGTTTCCCCCGCCGCGAGTCCTCCTGCTCCCACATACCCGCCCCCCGCGCCCCCACCATTGGCCCACCACGCCCCTGCAGCCCCCTCCGCCACGGCGCCCACCGCCTCACCCCTCGCACTGCCTCTCCTCCCTCTTGCACCTCCCCCGCTTTTCCCCCTCCGTGCCCCCTTTCCCCCTCTCCCCCTCCCCCCTCCGCCTGGCTCCATCCAGGCGGCGCTCGAAGAGCGCCCGAATTGACGCGTGGCGTTCAGCCACTGGCTGGGCTACGCGCGGCGAAGATAATGCAGCTGCCGCGGCTGGGCGGCAAGAGTGCGCGGTCGCATGAGGCGGCTTTAGACTAACGTGCGAGCTACGCCTGCCGCGCGCCGCCGCGCGGTGCAACGCGCGTGGCGGCGTGAACGACGGCGGTGACACACACTGTGTGTGAAGCTGGTGGGAAAAAGGGGACGCGGGTGGTGCAGAGCTGGTGTGTTAGTATTTCTTTGTTAAAAAATAATTCCCCGTTACGCCTGTGGTCTTGCGGGGCGGCGGTATGACGGAGGAAGTCTGCGGAGCAAAGGGTGCGCATCAGAAGAAGAACGACCGCGCGAAATTTGAGAGGTGGAATGAATGGGACTTCATCTCGCAGAAACGTGCAAAAGGGAAACATCCGCTTTACTGAGTGGGGACGGGGGAAAGTTAAACGAAGCAGCTCAGAAGCAGCATCGCGAGAGCTTTTTTGGGTTGCGTAGCAACCTTATACATTTGGTTTCACATTTCGGGGAACTGACGTGAACAGTGATTTTTTTTTCCCTCCAAAATTCTGGAAGATAACACTGTTCACGTGAGTTACCCTATATGAAACCAAATGTGTCCAATCATCCATAATCATCGATAAGTACGGCGAATGGAATAATTGGACAATCGTTCTAGCACTATGGTGACACCAATTGCCTCACAGATCGAAAGATACACATACATACACAGACAAAAACAAACATGTACAAAAACCGTTGTACATGTTTTGAGGGGAATACAAAATGCATCAATGCAGCAGCTGAGATTGACAAGGTACGGAAGAGGCAAGCAAAGCTGCCCCACCGACGATCACAACCTCAGTTGCATAGACGAGACACTTTGCATCACACCCCGAAACAAGCACAGACGATAACATACAAGTTGTTACAGAAACAGAGGACGGACAACGATTGAGATAATGTTTCAAGGTGATTACTAAATGCACCAATGCTGCAACTGGGATTGATATGGTACGGAAGAGGCTAGCAAAGCTGCCCCACCGACGATCACAATCCGAGTTGCATTCACGCGGCACTTAGCACCACACCCTGAAACACACACATGTACGTATGCACGCACATGTACGCATTCACACACACATAGGCTCACACATACACAAGCACACACAACACAAAAACATACCCAGCTACGGTTAGCAGCATGCAAGCATAATGAATAGATCAACACTAGCCTAGCCTGTGACCATTCCCCTCCTCCCCTCCCTCCCTCCCTCCCTCCCTCCCTCCCTCCCTCCCTCCCTCCCTCCCTTCCTCCCTCCCTCATCTCCCTTCCCCCGGTCCCTTTTCTCCGCAAGAAACAAAGGCTGCAGCTTGAACTCCTTGCACTGGAAAGGAGAAACAGTGAATGCAACTCACTCCCTGCACAAACAAAAACAAACCCGGAGAATACAACTTGCATGAGTTGAACAAGAAAACAAGATAGATGCACTAAAAAACAACGTAAGCGCAACATAATTTGGCGCTAAAGATGAGTGATGAAAACAGTCAAATTTGACATCTTATAAATGTGACTTGATAGTAGACATTACGGCGTCACACATACCATGGCAGAATGCATGCAATACCTTCAGATTCACCCTTACCCTCATCCTCACACATGCACGCACTCACACTTGGAATCATACTTGCACTCGCCTTCGCACTCACCACTGCAATCACACCCGCACCATCTCACTCAGCCTCACACTCGCATTCGCCCTCGCACTCACACCAGCACTCTCGCGCGCTCTCCCGCGCTCTCTCTCGAGTACACTCTCGCACGTGCTCTCACGCGCACTCACTCACGCTCTTACGGGCTCCCTCATGCGCTCCCTCACGCGCTCCCTCATGCGCTCCATCTCGCGTGCTCACTCGCGCGCTCCCTCTCGCAAACTCTCGCGCACTCTCCCGCGCGCTCTTTCGCGCGCACTCTAGAACGCACTCACATGCGCACTCTCACGCGCTCGATCGCGCGCTCCCTCGCGCGAACTTTCGCGCACTTTCCCGCGCTCTTTCCCGCGCACTCTCTCGCGCACTATCTCTCGCGCACTATCTTCCGCGCACCTTAGTTGGTCATTTACGTTTACGTTTACGTACGTACGTGTACGGGTATGTACGTTTACGCGGCTGTTGGGTTGGAGGCCTAATGTACGGGCAGGTTAAAAATTTTCTTGGCTGCCCAAACATGTGTATTTTTTCTGTAGTACTCCCTCATGATCATGATTTTCGTCATATAGTGTAAACATTCCATTACAACCTCATAATTTTCCAAATAACTAAAATACCATCATGCACGAGTCGTGCAGAATATCATATCATCCTCACTCCATCGGCTCTTCTGCTTCCTGGCCATCAAGATATGCCTCATCAGGGATGTCATCGTCATCGAGATGCCTGTAGTTGTCAGTTGGTTCCTCCTTAGCTTGCACCACAGGAAGCCCACTCACCACCAACTTCTTAGCAAGATCCTCATTCAACTTCTTCACTGTGTGATAGTTGTGGCTCACGTACACAAGGTCGGCAAGGCGTTTCGCTCCAAGGCTATTACGACGAGCTGTATGGATTGACTCCCAAACGGCCCAGTTCGTCTCGCAAGGGGAGGCCGAGACGCATTGCTTGAGAACTCTCGTTGCGAGCTTGGAGAGGTGGGGCACGTCCGTGCCATTGAATTCCCACCAATGCGCCGAATCCCAAAGCCCAGCTTTGATGAGTTCATGCTCATCACGCGCCTTCTGCTCCCCAATGTCTCCCTTCCCCTTGGTGTACGTCAAGACCTCTTTTTTGACGATGGTTGCGAGTGGTGCCATCACCTCTCCCACTTTTACGAATTCACCCTTGTAGTGATTGCGAATGAGCTGCTTGAAGATCTTGGTAGACTCCACATCCGTTCTCGGTCAGCTCCTTACACGCCTCCTTCACCGCGTCCTCCAAAACAAACATTTTGTCATAGATCTTGCCCATCACCGCCTGATTGTGGTCAACATTCCGCAGCAGCTTGACCGGACAAAGCACATCGAGCACCGTCCCAACGCGCGTCCAGAACTCATTGTCGATAATAGTATCCCATGCGTCCTTCATTTTCGGCTTCCCCTTGACGTACTCCTCCCAATCCTCACTCGACACCAGCTTATCGAGAGTTTTGCGCACTGCTTGCAGGCGTTCGAGGGCGATGTAGTTTGTTCCAAAACAAGTGCCCGCAGGTTTCAAGATTTGTAGCGCCTTCTCCTTTCGAAGAACCCCCGTAATCCAGTGTGCGTCCTTCAGCGTCGTAATAAGCTGATGTGCGCGGTCGATGGTATCCTTGGCCCAATCGAGTTGGCCAATGTCCTTCATCATTAGATTGAGAGAATGCGCAGCGCAACAAATCCATTAAACTTTTGGGTACTCGCGGGCGATGATGCTGGCAGCGTTGACATTCGCGGACGCACCGTCCACCAGCAGGCCGACAACGTTCTCCGTTCCCACCATAACCATTGCCGTCTTCAAGTGGCCAGCAATGAATTCTGCTCAATTCTTCTCCGTGCCGCAATCCATCCCAAAAAGAAAAACGGATGCAATCGTATGGACAGCTAAAAAGTTCAGATGCGGACGTCCTTCGCTGTCAGTCCAACCGTCACACGCGATGCATACCCCGACATCCTTCCATGAATCCTTCACCTCCTTCAACGCAGCGTCGGTGTTCGCCTTGCACTCCTCCAACAATCTTCCCATTATGAGCCGTCGTCCTGGAGGTGTAAATCCTGTACCAGCAACAGCAACCTTTTTCAGCATCGTCTTGAAAGCATCGTGCTCCGCAACATTCGGTGCGATACGACAGACGTGGAAAAACGTTGCGATGGCTAGTTGCGCACTCGCCACGTCGACGGGTTTGGGGCGAGTATCCATAAGCGTACGCTGCGTCGCCTGTCTCTTGCGCGCCATGGTGCTACTTTCCGCTAAGTTGGAGCCACTCGCCACCATGCCCGCCGACTTGGTGTTCGTAGTAGATGGCGAGAATGCCTCGGACGTTTTCTGTTGAGCTTTCTCGCGAGAATCAGATTCCCTCTTTGTCAGAATCAACGGACTGGAATGGACTGAACTAACAAGGAAGGCAGTACAAATGGGAAACCCTAGAGATGTGTACCCCATATAGTCTAACCCACTGTAGCCTAACAACAACCAACATATATAATGTTTGACACACCCCCATAGGCAAAGTGGGGGAGACCTAGGGGTCACAAGACCAGTTAAGGCAAAGCAAGGCAAACAAGCTCAGGGTGGATCTCGAGGATTCCACACAAATTCCGAGCACAAGCTAGTGGTCACAAGACCAGTTCACATGCAGGTTTATAGCAGAGCAAGAGATACAGTGATCACAACCTAGCAAGAGTAAACATGCAGGTATATATATATATATAGTGATCACAGTACAAGCAAGGTCAAGAGGTAAGTAAGTGAGGTCCAGTAGGCACAAGGCCTAGTAGAGTGCAGAGGCGCTGATGGTCACGAGGCTGAAGCGCCTTGGTGAACACATCAGCAGTGTTGGCCTCAGTGGCCACGTAGCGAATACAAAGCTGACCGCGCTGCTGCAGCTCTCGAGCAAGGAAGTACTGCAGGGCGATGTGCTTCGTTCTGTGCTCCAGTCTGTGCTCCTCACACAAGGCAATGGCAGCCTTGTTGTCGACGTACAGCACTGGAGGAGAACGAGGCCGCTCTCCAAGGTCGGTCAGCAGGTAGGTCAGCCAGCGTAGCTCCTGGGCAGCCATGGCTGTAGCGTAGATCTCAGCCTCGCAACTGGAGCCGAGAACAGAAGAAGAGCGTGTAGAGCGCCAAGAAACTGAGCCAGAGCCAAGGCTGAAGGTGTAACCCTGAGACGACCGCTGAGTGGCCTGGTCGTCTGCCCAAGAAGCGTCTGAGTGCCCTGTGAGAACAACTCGGTCTCGCCCTCCAAGCACAAGCCCCATGCCCGACGTACTGCACAAGTAGCGCAACACCCTCTTAGCTGCATCCATGTGCTCCTTCCTGTGACGGCCAGGAGCGACATAGCGTGCAAGGATGCTAAGAGGGTATGCAAGGTCAGGTCGAGTGCAGGTCATCAGGTACATGAGGCAGCCCACAAGCTCTGGATACGGGCCACTCGGCTCTACGGACTCATCCGAAGGCAGAGCTGAGAGCGAGTGACCGGTAGGCAGAGGAGTGGACTGAGGCGAGGAGTACGTGAAGCGGAAGCGCTGAAGGATCTGCTGCACCATGTGTGACTGAGTCAGGGTGATGGTGCGCCGTGCTCTGTCCCGGGTGATCCGCAAGCCAAGATAGCTTGTCAGTTCACCCAGGTCTGTGCACGTGTGTCTCCTATGCAGCTCCGACTTCACGTAGGCGAGTCCTGCAGTGTCAGCAGTGGCAAAGACCAAGTCGTCGACGTACACGAGGATGTAGAACGGCGGCAGCGAAGTGTCGGTGCGTAGGAACAGCGACGGGTCAGCAGTAGAAGGCGCGAACCCAAGAGCCGCAAGTGTAGTCCTCAGTGTGTCGTGCCACTCACGCGGAGCCTGGCGGAGACCGTAGACCGGCCGCTGAAGCCTCCACTAGGTACCAGGAGGAACCGACCCAGTGAAGCCAGGTGGGCGGCGCAGCTAGATCTCCTCGTGCAGGCTGCCCTGCAAGAAAGCAGTGCTGAAGTCAAGTGAGTGAAGCTCGTAGTCGCGATGAGCGGCTATGTGTAGCAGCACCCGAAGAGTAGTCATCTTCGGGGTGGGGGAGAAGGTCTGGAAGAAGTCAACTCCCTCTCGCTGACTGAAGCCTCGAGCCACGTAACGCGCCTTGAAGACAGGCGGAGAACCCGGCGGCCGCTTCACCCTGAAAATCCACATGCCACTGACGATGTTCGCCCCAGGTGGGGGAACCTCGTCGACGTAGGTGCGTGTGGACTTCCAGGAGGCCATCTCGGCGTCCATGGCTGTCTGCCACTGAGAGGAGTAGGGACCCGCCATCGCCTCAGCGTAAGTGCGCGGGGTCGGGATGTCTGGTGCATCCGGGTCTCCCTCAGGGGCAACTAGCAGGGACACAAGACGGGGTAAAGCAGCAGCAAGACACTGGAACTCCTCCTGTCTGTCCTCAAGGACGTCCGTGCCAAGAGCACACTCACCCCCGACGGACTGAGGACAGACAGACGCAGACTCAGACTCAGACTCAGCAACAAGGCTAGCAGCGTAGTCTAGACGACAGGCAGCAGCAAAGTCAACCAACTCAGCGACCAGAGCAGACGCAGCCGAGGACTCAAAGGTAGGGTCAGTGACAATAGTAGCTAGGAGACGCGTGACAGTAGGGTGCTCAGCACGATACCGGTCAGACTCAGGGTCCGGAACGTCAGGCAAAGAGGACGCAGGAGGAGACGGTAGAGGGACACGCTGAGGAGCAGTAGAGGGACGCAGAGTCATGTAGTGAGTGCCTGGGACAGGAGGAGGACGCTCACGGCGGACACGACTACCAGTGCGAGCAGTACGAACAGGCGACGCAGGACGAGACTCAGGCTCACGACGCTCTGTAAGACCTCCTGTGGGACCAGTGTAAGGAGAGGGAGCAGGGAGAGGTGAGGTAGGCGGTAACTGTGACTGCTGCTGAACAGGCGGAGGACACTCTACGGAGGGAGGAGGACAAGGAGGAGGAGCCTGCCCAAGAACCTGCTGAAGGAGCGGCACGAAGTACGGTCGCGGCCGCGCAGTGTCTCCAGAAGCAGTAGAGACTCCAGCGGCCGGGTCCTCAGTACCAGCAGGAGCTCCAGCGTCCGGGTCCACAGCACCAGCAGCAGCTCCACCGGCCGGGTCCTCAGCACCAGCAGCAGCTCCAACGCCCGGGTCCTCAGTAGCAGCAGCAGCGCCACCGCTCGGGTCCTCAGCTCCAGCAGCAGCTCCACCGTCCGAGTCCTCAGCACCAGCAGCAGCTCCACCAGGCGGGTCCTCAGCACCAGCAGCAGTTCCAACGTCCGGGTCCTCAGCACCAGCAGCAGCTCCAACGTCCGGGTCCTCAGCACTAGCAGCAGCGCCACCCCCAGGGTCCGCAGCACCAGGAGCACCACTCCGAAGACTGCAGCGCCGTGTGTACCACTCGCGGATCTGCTGAATGGGGGGGAGCTCCTGGGTAGGAGGGGAAGCACCGGGACGAGCTCCAGCAGCACCTCGCCGGAGGCGGCAGTACTCGAGGTACCTCTCCTGCAGCTGCTGGGAGGAGAGGGCTCCTCCAGGTGTAGCACGCTCAGGCTCAGCACCCCCAGACTCAGTACCCCCAGACTCAGCACCCCCAGGCTCAGCACCTCCAGGCTCCGCACCTCCAGGCTCCGCACCTCCAGGCCCAGCACCCCCAGGCTCCGCACCCCCAGACTCAGCACTCCCAGGCTCAGCACCCCCAGACGCAGCACCCCCAGGCTCAGCACCCCCAGACGCAGCACCCCCAGGCTCAGCACCCCTAGCAGGACGAGAGTCAACAGCTACCTCGACAGGCTCACCCGGGTCTACCTGGGACACACCTGAGGGAGCGGCACCCTGAGGGGGGAGGGGGTCTGGTACCTCAGCACCTGGAGCGAGGAAGAGAGGCGGGGGGGGGAGCGGGGCAGTGCGGTAGGGGAAGAGGCGGTAGTAGGGGACGGACTCGTCAAAAGTGACGTCCTGAGAGGCCAGGACACGACGCGAGGTGGCGTGGTAGAACTGCCAACCAGGCGCGTCCGGGACAAAGCCAAGGAAGACACAGGGGACAGCGCGACGGGAGAGCTTGTCCGCGGACGTGTCGCGAACAAAAGCTCGAGATCCCCAGACCCGAAAACGCGACGCATCGCCAGCCTCTCCCGTCCAACGCAGTGTCGGAGAAGTCTCCGGTAAGGAGACACGGGGCCAGAGGTTGAGCTGATGCGCAACGTATCGGACTGCAAACGGCCACAGAAAGTGGGGGGCAGCCGCATGAACCAAGGAGGTACGAGCGACCTCCATGACCAAGCCAATGCGGCGCTCAGCAACCCCATTCTGCTGTGGAGTGGCCGGAAGTGTGAACGACTGCTCAATGCCCTCCTGCTGATAGAAGGCCTCCAAGAGGCCAGAGGAAAACTCCCCACCTCTGTCAGAGTGCAGACGCAGGACAGGGAAGTCGGAGCGGAAACGCTCACTGAGCCGAAGCGAGATCTGCGGATCCAAGGGATCAAGACATCAGGGACGTCACCCTTGGCGCGCAAGGGGAAGACCGTGGTGTAGCGCGAGAAGTCGTCAACAACAATCAGGAAGTACCTCTCCTGACCCTGACCACGGACGCGGGCTGGGCCCCACACGTCCATGTGGAGCGTCTGCAAGGGAGCAGTCGTCGGGGGGAAAGGAGGAGGAATGAGGAGCGGCGCGCTGCCGCCCCTCGACACAGGGAATACAGGGAGGAGCAGGCGAGTCTGGAAGGGGAGGGAGTACCCTGGGAAGCCCAGCAACAAGGTCCCGTTGGTGCATGGCCCGAAGGCGCTGAACAGACGGGTGACCAAGGCGGTGGTGCCAGAGGATAGTCTCATGCGCCAGAGAGCGACACGAGCAGGGGGCGGACAGCTGACCTGACGCTGACGCAGACGCAACTACCTGAGGGGACTCAGTGGTCAGTGTGTAAAGGTCGGACCCCGGCTCTCGAGTGAAGGTAGCCAAGTGGCGACCCGTCCGAGCACACGTGCAGTGTGTCACGCGCTCGTAGGCAGGGGTGAACTGATGAACACCCCCGTCCTGGAGCTCTCGGCCTGCCACCAAGTTCGTAGAGAACGAGGGGAGGTAGAGACCTGACAGCGTGCCGGACGGGACCGCAGGACAAGGAAGGACAGTGGAGGAGGTCGCAATGACCGGACCCCCAGAGGGGTCAGCAAGGGAGACAGCAACTGGCCGAGCGAGTGGCTCAAGGACAGTGCGGTCACGAAAGAAGGAGCGAGAAGCACCTGAGTTCAGTGTGAAGGTGTGCAGTGCGGCAGTCGACTCAGTACCAGGGGGCACAGACGCACTAGCACCTAGGGCAGCAGCCTCACCAGAGCCTGGGGCAGTAGACTCACTAGCACCTAGAGCGGCAACCTCACCATCACCTGGGGTAGCAGACACGTGAGCACCTGTAGCGACAGACGTACTAGCACCTAGAGCGGCAGCGTCACTCACAAGACACGGCAGCTGCACCTGTCCGCTACTAGAAGCTCCCGAACGACGCACGCCAGAGCGACTACCACGACGGCCACCCCGATAGCCCCAACTGGCGTACCACTCACGAGCCTGCTGGACCGTAGGAGGGCACGGCTGCTACACCTGTCCACTACCAGAGGCTCCCGAACTACGCACGTCAGGGCGACTACCACGACTGCCACCCCGACAGCCCCACCTGGCGTACCACTCACGAGCCTGCTGGACCGTAGGAGGGCACGGCTGCTGCACCTGTCCACTACCAGAGGCTCCCGAACTACGCACGTCAGGGCGACTACCACGACTGCCACCCCGACAGCCCCAACTGGCGTACCACTCACGAGCCTGCTGGACCGTAGGAGGGCACGGCTGCTGCACCTGTCCACTACCAGAGGCTCCCGAACTACGCACGTCAGAGCGACTACCACGACTGCCACCCCGACAGCCCCAACTGGCGTACCACTCACGAGCCTGCTGGAGCTCCATCTGGCCACGTCAGGAGCAGCAGCAGTAGCGGCAGCTGTAACGGTAGCAGTGCTGGCAGGGCAAAGCTCACCAGTGGTCGGTGCGGCGGGCGCAAGACAGTGGCGACAGCGGGGCCGCTGCACCAGCGGGACGGGGCCAGGTCGCAGCAGGGAGCTCCGTGGCAGCTGCTGCAGGGTCGGCGGCGGCCGCTGCTGTAGGCTCGGCGGCGGCAGCTGCTGCAGGTCGAGTGGCGGCTGCTGCTGCAGGGTCAGCGGCGGCAGCTGCTGCAGATCGGCGGCGGCTGCTGCTACAGGCTCGGCGGCGGCAGCTGCTGCAGGTCGGCGGCGGCTGCTGCTGCAGGTTCGGCGGCGGCAGCTGCTGCAGACGAGGTAGAAGCCGCGAAGGGGCGGCGGAGGGATCGCGACGGCGGCTGGGAGGGCCGCGACGGGCGGGTAAGGGGCCACGACGGGCCGTAGGGAGGCGACGACGCCACGGGGAGGGCGACGCGGCGGGTGGCGAGAGTCTGCAGCGGCGGGCAGCTCGCGGGCAGTGCGCGGGCAGCGGATTAGGGTTAGGTAACGCCTCCGCGGGCAGGCGACGGTGTCGCGGGCAGGGGTCGACGTCGCGGGGCGGATTAGGGTTAGGCAACGCCGCGGGCAGGCGACGACTCCGCGGGCAAGCAACGGCGCCGCGGGTAGGGGTCGACGCCGCGGGCAGGCGGCTTCGACGCGGGCAGGCGACGACGCCGCGGGGAGGCGCGACGCCGCGGGCAGGCGACGACGTCGCAGGGAGGCGCGACGCCGCGGGGAGGCGACGACGCCGCTGGCAGGTGACGACGTCGCGGGGAGGGCGACGCGACGGGCGGCGAGAGTCTGCAGGGGCGGCTCTCGGGCCTGACGGGTCTGCAGCGGCGGCTCGGGGGCCTGACGGGCCTGTAGCGGCGGCTCGGGGGGCTGACGGGCCTGCAGCGGCGGCTCGAGGGCGCACGAGGGCGCACGAAGGCGCACAAGGAGAAAAAAGCGCACGAGGGCGCACGAGGGCGCACGAGGGCGCACGGGGGGCGCACGAGGGCGCACGGGGGCGCACGAGGGCGCACGGTAGTAGGTAGGTAGGTAGGGTAACGGTGGGCCCTAAAGCGGTCCTAGTGACGGACCTGCTCTGATACCATGTCAGAATCAACGGACTGGAATGGACTGAACTAACAAGGAAGGCAGTACAAATGGGAAACCCTAGAGATGTGTACCCCATATAGTCTAACCCACTGTAGCCTAACAACAACCAACATATATAATGTTTGACACTCTTATCATCCATCGCAGAACGAATTTTCTCCTTATCCTCAGGTGTAGCTGAGGCGCATGGCGTGATTCCGCTCCCGGGAATTCCGTGAATGTGTGCCTGAGCCCGCGCCACATTCAGTTTCCACGACTTCCCACATCGCTTGCATTTCTTCGCTAGCATAGACTCAGATGTTCCGCCCTCAGGAACAATGAAGCATCGCCACACGGGATGCTCGGAAGCGGTCTGCGTAGGAATCTCCATAGTACTAGTATAATCAGTTGGAGTGTGTTGGTTAAGTAGATAGAGTAGATAGACAAAAAGCTAGCTGTGATTGTTTGTTAAGCGTGGTGACTTCTTTTATACTTATAAGCTATATCTGCAAATTAGTTCGTTGCCGTTGCATCGCGCTGTTAGTTTCCGTTTAGGACTCTTGGAAGGTGCAGGAATGTGTGTGCGCGTTTACGGACGGTGCAGAAAAATCGCTAGTTGTAAATCTCGATTTGACTCGGCGAATTTGTTTGACTTGGTGTTGGGATTCGCCGAAACTAGTGAACCTCGGCGGTGACAAAATTGCCGAGCGTGTGACAATCACTTACCTTGCAAGTGAAGCAACTCGGCGGTGACAAAATTGTCGAGCGGATGACAGTCGCTTACCTTGCAAGTGAAGCAATTGCGAGTCAAACTGTTCGCAATTTGACTCGCATTCAGATCTACTCCCACCTCCTTCCTCCCTCTCTCGACAAACTTACCTATCGTAGTACCCTAAGCCGTAGCAACATAGTCGACGTAGTACGTGGGGTAGTCGCCACACCATAGCGACCCTAGCTAGCAACCTTCTCATTTCTTACATTACTACTATGAGAAACGTCGCGCCGATTTACTACCACGCTAACAAAGCACATGTTGTCGAAAGCGTTTTTCTTTTCTAGTTTTTTGGAAACTGTTTTTAAAGAAATTCCTACCGGGATTTTTTTTCTGACCTGCCCGGCGTACGTACACGTACGTACACGTAAACGTAAACGTACGCGTACGTTACGTATACGTGGCCTCAAGTGGCGTAAATGACCAACTTAGCCGCGCACTCTCTCGCGCACTCTCTTGCGCGCACTCTAGAGTGCACTCTCGCGCGCTCTTTCTCGCGCTCTCTCACGCGCTGTCTCAGGCGCTCTCTCACGCAATTGTTTACGCGATCTCTCACGCGCACTCTCACGCGCACTCTCACTCACGCGCTCCCTCACGCGCTCTTTCTGGCACACTCTCGCGCGCACTCTAGCGTGCACTCTCAGGCACGCTCTCACGCGCTCCATCACGCGCGCTCTCACACGCTCTCACGCGCACTCTCCCGCGCTCCCTTGCACGCACTCTTGCGCACACACTTGCGCGCACTCTCGCGCGCTCTCTTGCACGCTCTCTCACGCGCTCTCTCACGCGCACTCTCACGCGCACCCTCATGCGCACTCTCACGTGCACTGTCACACGCTAGCTCACGCTCTACCTCACGCGCTCTCTCACGCGCTCTCACACGCTCTATCACGCGCTCTCACACGCTCTATCACGCGCTCTCTCACGCGCTCTCACGCGCTCTCTCATGCGCTCTCACGCGCTCTCTCACGCTCACTCTCACGCGCTCTCTCCTGTGCGTGCGCTCCCGTGCACACGCTCTCCCTCGCGCTCCGCGTCTCTCCCTTTCTTCACGAAGGGAGCTACGCAAGAGGAGGCCAATAGACACCAAAAAAATTACGATTACAAAAAAAAAAAAAAAAAAAAAAAATCAGAGGGGGAAGGGAGGATGAAAGGACCGGGAACACACCTGATAACCATGATAACTCGGAAAACAGCTCGCGCACCAACCCCCGCTCGTGCACCAACCCGCGCTCGCGCACCAACCCGCGCTCGCGCACCAACCAGCGCTCGCGCACCAACCCGCGCTCGCGCACCAACCCGCGCTCGCGCACCAACCTGCGCTCGCACACCAACCCGCGCTTGCGCTCGTGCACTTGTCGCCGGAGGCGACCGCGGGAAGGAGGGAGAGGCGACCGCGGGGAGGAGGGGGAGGCGACAGTGAGGAGGAGGAGAGGCGACGGTGGGGAGGAAAGGCGACGGCGGGGAGGAGGGAGAGGCGACGGCAGGTAGGAGGGAGAGGCGACGGCGGGAGGAGGGAGAGGCGACGGCGGGGAAGAGGGAGAGGCGACGTCGGGGAGGAGGAGAGGTGACGGGGAGGAGGAGGAGAGGCGACGGCGGGGAGAAGAGGCGACGGCGGGGAGGAGGGAGAGGCGACGGCGGGGAGGAGGGAGAGGCGACGGCGGGGAGGAGGGAGAGGCGACGGCGGGGAGGAGGAGAGGCGACGGCGGGGAGGAGGGAGAGGCGACGGCGGGGAGGAGGGAGAGGCGACGGCGGGGAGGAGGGAGAGGCGAAAGCGGGGAGGAGGGAGGCGACGGCGGGGAGGAGAGGGAGGAGACGCCAGGGAGGTAAGGGAGAGGAGATGGCGGGGTGGAGGGGACGGACTGTGAAGTGGGTTGGAGAGGAGACGGCAGGTAGTGAGGGAGAGGATACGGCTGGATGGGAGTGAGAGCGACGGCTGGGTGGAAGAACAACTGTCGAGAAACTAGGTTGGGGGGGAAAAGGAGTAGGAGCAGAGCAGAGGAACCAACAATAACAAAGAAAAGACAGCACCGGAGTTGAGCTATGAAAGAGACGGTAAAGTTAAATTTATAGGGGAAACCCCCTTTGGTATTACCCCGGCTGTCGGTCTTAACCCGCCTCCCCATGTGTTTACACGCCTCGCTGTGTAACGAGGTTGATCTATCCACTCCCAGATGAGCACCTGTGTAGTCCCTTAAAGTGGGGACTGGCTGTAAAGGCTGCAGGGGGGATTTGATCCCGGGACCTCATCTTTCCGAAGTGAACCAGCTAACACCTGGGCCACTTCAGGATTGTGAAAGAAATGATGCCAGCACAGAACGAGAAAAATTCTGCCAGCGCAGAACGAGAAAATTTATGCCAGCGCAAGACGAGGGCATTCGGTAATGCCACCCAACGCCATCCAACTTGCTGACACATCATATACACTAGTTGCAAACGCCCAACCCGCTAAAAAAACCTGATTGAACAATGGACTTAAGTTGTTGGTGAAATATCATAATATTGAACTCTATAATGTTTCTAACACAAGGGATACCACTATACGCAACCCTTCCGACGTAAACGTCAAATGTTATTTAACTGTTATATGCGCAATCTACTAAACAAACGAACATTGCGCTATCTAAGCAAAAAAGTAAAGTGTGCCCTACGGGCCTCATGTCGAGGTTGGGAAATAATGACGGGCAGGGCTGGGTCGCGGGTTACCAGCTGGCGATGGTCGTGTTGGCGCGAACAATACCGAGGGTGTCGCGAGGTGGTAACGGCGGAGATATCTCATACGAGCTTGACTACGGGGAAGGAACGGTTATGAGGGTGATCGAAGCGTTCCTTGCGTGTTTGCCCGTGATCTCTCTAATACGCACACATTCAGGGGGAGAATTGAAAAGAGTTTCACTAGCAAAAGTTCACAACAGTGGTAACAACAAAGGAAACTAGACTACATCAGATGCTAGCAAGCATTCAGGTCGACTACCAACGCAGCATGGTCGACTGCGTTCCAGTGTTGCATGGCCGACCGCGCTCCAGCAGTGCAAAGTCGCGGCCTGCCAAACGTTGCAAGTCGACGGCGTGCCAATGCTACAACAAGGCGGCTGCATAGCGTTGCACCCGTAGGACAGCAGCGCACCCGCTTCGCATGTGCTCGCAAATGATTGGCATGCTGAGCTTCGTCACCTGCACGGTGCAGACACCAAACTTTCCACGTGCTATCGACTGCACCTGATCAGCCACGTCGACATTGGGATACCACCACCAAGGTCGGGTTTGCCAAAACCTCTTGGGCGACTGTCCCACTACTCCGCAGGACCCCGTCGCCCAAGGTAACCTGGCCGACCGGGCAACCACGTCGACCAGGCACTTCTTCTCGTGCCCGTCGACCACACATGTCGACGACCACACATGTCGACGACCATCACTGGTCGACTTCACCAGGTTGACCACACTTCAGGTCGACTAGCTCCACGTCTACCAGCCTAGCTGTCAGCCGACCACACCAAGTCGGCTTCCTCAGGTCGGCGTCACCAAGTCGACGCCCTCCCAGGTCAACCTCCCAGTGCTGAAATCGGCCACCGGCGTCCAAAATTCGGCGGCTTCGCAATGGCCCCGTGGAGGTCGTCCAAAACCTGTCGACCAGCTTGCCCAAATCAACGTCGGCCACTACTGCTGGTCGGCTGCGCTCCCCGCACACCCGACTACGAAGTCGACTCCGCCCAAGCTAGGACGGGGCTAACACACTACTTCCGTTGGCACTCTCTGTCGAAATAACAGACTGGAATGACTGAACTAACAGAAGGATGGATACAAATAGGAAACCCTAATCCAGTGTACCCCCTAAGATATCACCCACTACTGCCTACAATCATATAAACATATAATGTTTGACACACCCCCATAGGCAAAGTGGGGGAGACCTAGGGGTCACAAGACCAGTCAAGGCAAAGCAGGGCAACAACAAGCTCAGGGTGGATCTCAAGGATTCCACACAAATTCCGAGCACAAGCTAGTGGTCACAAGACCAGTTCACATGCAGGTTTATAACAGAGCTAGAGATACAGTGATCACAACCTAGCAAGAGTAAACATGCAGGTATAGATATATCTAGTGATCACAGTACAAGCAAAGTCAAGAGGTAAGCAAGTGAGGTCCAGTAGGCACAAGGCCTAGTAGAGTGCAGAAGCGCTGATGGTCACGAGGCTGAAGCGCCTTGGTGAACACATCAGCAGTGTTGGCCTCAGTGGCCACGTAGCGAATACAAAGCTGACCGCGCTGCTGCAGCTCTCGAGCAAGGAAGTACCGCAGGGCGATATGCTTCGTTCTGTGCTCCAGTCTGTGCTCCTCACACAAGGCAATGGCAGCCTTGTTGTCGACGTACAGTACTGGAGGAGAACGAGGCCGCTCTCCGAGGTCGGTCAGCAGGTAGGTCAGCCAGCGTAGCTCCTGAGCAGCCATGGCTGTAGCGTAGATCTCAGCCTCGCAACTGGAGCCGAGAACGGAAGAAGAGCGTGTAGAGCGCCAAGAAACTGAGCCAGAGCCAAGGCTGAAGGTGTAACCCTGAGACGACCGCTGAGTGGCCTGGTCGTCTGCCCAAGAAGCGTCTGAGTGCCCTGTGAGAACAACTCGGTCTCGCCCTCCAAGCACAAGCCCCATGCCCGACGTACTGCACAAGTAGCGCAACACCCTCTTAGCGGCATCCATGTGCTCCTTCCTGTGACGGCCAGGAGCGACATAGCGTGCAAGGATGCTAAGAGGGTATGCAAGGTCAGGTCGAATGCAGGTCATCAGGTACATGAGGCAGCCCACAAGCTCTGGATACGGGCCACTCGGCTCTACGGACTCATCCGAAGGCAGAGCTGAGAGCGAGTGACCGGTAGGCAGAGGAGTGGACTGAGGCGAGGAGTACGTGAAGCGGAAGCGCTGGAGAACCTGCTGCACCATGTGTGACTGAGTCAGGGTGATGGTGCGCCGTGCTCTGTCCCGGGTGATCCGCAAGCCAAGATAGCTTGTCAGCTCACCCAGGTCTGTGCACGTGTGTCTCCTCTGCAGCTCCGACTTCACGTAGGCGAGTCCTGCAGTGTCAGCAGTGGCAAAGACCAAGTCGTCGACGTACACGAGGATGTAGAACGGCGGCAGCGAACTGTCGGTGCGCAGGAACAGCGACGGGTCAGCTGTAGAAGGCGCGAACCCAAGAGCCGCAAGTGTAGTCCTCAGTGTGTCGTGCCACTCACGCGGAGCCTGGCGGAGACCGTAGACCGGCCGCTGAAGCCTCCACTGGGTACCAGGAGGAAACGACCCAGTGAAGCCAGGTGGGCGGCGCAGCCAGATCTCCTCGTGCAGGCTGCCCTGCAAGAAAGCAGTGCTGAAGTCAAGTGAGTGAAGCTCGTAGTCGCGGTGAGCGGCTATGTGCAGCAGCACCCGAAGAGTAGTCATCTTCGGGGTGGGGGAGAAGGTCTGGAAGACGTCAACTCCCTCTCGCTGACTGAAGCCTCGAGCCACGTAACGCGCCTTGAAGACAGGCGGAGAACCCGGCGGCCGCTTCACCCTGAAAATCCACATGCCACTGACGATGTTCGCCCCAGGAGGGGGAACCTCGTCGACGTAGGTGCGTGTGGACTTCCAGGAGGCCATCTCAGCGTCCATGGCTGTCTGCCACTGAGAGGAGTAGGGACCCGCCATCGCCTCAGCGTAAGTGCGCGGGGTCGGGATGTCTGGTGCATCCGGGTCTCCCTCAGGGGCAACTAGCAAGGACACGAGACGGGGCGAAGCAGCAGCAAGACACTGGAACTCCTCCTGTCTGTCCTCAAGGACGTCCGTGCCAAGAGCACACTCACCCCCGACGGACGGAGGACAGACAGACTCAGCAACAAGGCTAGTAGCGTAGTCTAGACGACAGGCAGCAGCAAAGTCAACCAGCTCAGCGACCAGAGCAGACGCAGCCGAGGACTCAAAGGTAGGGTCAGCGACAACAGTAGCGAGGAGACGCGTGACAGTAGGGTGCTCAGCACGATACCGGTCAGACTCAGGGTCCGGAACGTCAGGCAAAGAGGACGCAGGAGGAGACGGTAGAGGGACACGCTGAGGAGCAGTAGAGGGACGCAGAGTCATGTAGTGAGTGCCTGGGACAGGAGGAGGACGCTCACGACGGACACGACTACCAGTGCGAGCAGGACGAACAGGCGACGCAGGACGAGACTCAGGCTCACGACGCTCTGTAAGGCCTCCTGTGGGACCAGTGTAAGGAGAGGGACCAGGGAGAGGCGAGGCAGGCGGTAACTGTGACTGCGGCTGGACAGGCGGAGGACACTCTACGGAGGGAGGGGGACAAGGAGGAGGAGCCTGCCCAAGAACCTGCTGAAGGAGCGGTACGAAGTACGGTCGCGGCCGCGCAGCGTATCCAGAAACTGAAGAGACTCCAGCGGCCGGGTCCTCAGTACCAGTAGGAGCTCCAGCGTCCGGGTCCACAGCACCAGCAGCAGCTCCACCGGCCAGCAGCAGCTCCCCCGCTCGGGTCCTCAGCTCCAGCAGCAGCTCCACCGTCCGAGTCCTCAGCACCAGCAGCAGCTCCACCGCCCGGGTCCTCAGCACCAGTAGCAGCTCCAACGTCCTCAGCACCAGCAGCAGCTCCACGAGGCGGGTCGGCAGGACCAGCAGCAGCTCCAACGTCCGGGTCCTCAGCACCAGCAGCAGCGCCACCGTCCGGGTCCTCAGCTCCAGCAGCAGCTCCAACGTCCGAGTCCTCAGCACCAGCAGCAGCTCCACCAGGCGGGTCCGCAGCACCAGCAGCAGCTCCACCCCCAGGGTCCGCAGCACCAGGAGCACCACTCCGAAGACTGCAGCGCCGTGTGTACCACTCGCGGATCTGCTGAATGGGGGGGAGCTCCTGGGTAGGAGGGGAAGTACCGGGACGAGCTCCAGCAGCACCTCTCTGAAGGCGGCAGTACTCGAGGTACCTCTCCTGCAGCTGCTGGGAGGAGAGGGCTCCTCCAGGTGTAGCACGCTCAGGCTCAGCACCCCCAGACTCAGCACCCCCAGACTCAGCACCCCCAGGCTCAGCACCTCCAGGCTCCGCACCTACAGGCTCAGCACCCCCAGGCTCAGCACCCCCAGACGCAGCACCCCCAGGCTCAGCACCCCTAGCAGGACGAGAGTCAACAGCTACCTCGACAGGCTCACCCGGGTCTACCTGGGACACACCTGAGGGAGCGGCACCCTGAGGGGGGAGGGGGTCTGGTACCTCAGCACCTGGAGCGAGGAAGAGAGGCGGGGGGGGGGGAGCGGGGCAGTGCGGTAGGGGAAGAGGCGGTAGTAGGGGACGGACTCGTCAAAAGTGACGTCCTGAGAGGCCAGGACACGACGCGAGGTGGGGTGGTAGAACTGCCAGCCAGGGGCGTCTGGGACAAAGCCAAGGAAGACGCAGGGGACAGCGCGACGGGAGAGCTTGTCCGCGGACGTGTCGCGGACAAAAGCTCGGGATCCCCAGACCCGAAAACGCGACGCATCGCCAACCTCTCCCGTCCAACGCAGTGTCGGAGAAGTCTCGGGCAAGGAGACACGGGGCCAGAGGTTGAGCTGATGCGCAGCGTATCGGACTGCAAACGGCCACAGAAAATGGGGGGCA